CCGCCCCCACCTCTCCTCCCCAAGGTGGCACTTCCCACGTCCCCCTCCTCACTGGACGTAGTCCAGGCCCCGGAGTCCAGTTTCTGGGCCTGCAGTGACTGGGGAGATGGCCCTGAACCGGCTGAGCCCTGGCAGGTGAGCGCTGAGCAGGCTGCTGTGTCCTGTCCCTGGTAAACGGGCGGTAGCGGTATGTGCTCGTCGGCCTGGTTTCGGGGCAGCCATCTTCCCGGGAGCAGTGAGCGGAGAGAGGCAGCCAGCAAGGCGGCTTCACGCAGCCCTGTGCTCCCACTGCAGGCCCAGGGCTCGGGGGCCCTGGCCGGAAACCCCGTGTCTGTCTCGGGGCTGCACCCAGCTCCACAAAGGTTCCGCTTCCCTCCTGAAATTGCATTTTTCCAGGGCCAAGTCGCAGCTGAGCAGGCTCCTGCCGGGCTCCCCCTCAGTGGGGTGGGGAGGGCAGGCGGGTGCAGGCACGCTGGCCTGGAAGCAAACAGCTTCAGATAATCCTGCTGGAGAGGACAGTGGCGAGGAGGTGTGGTTATTGCTGCTCTCCTGATGGACTCTGGGAGGAGGAGGGTGAAGCTGGAGGTGGGGTGAGCAGAGCCTGGCTCCAGCAGGGGCCCAGTGGGGTCCTCTGTGGCCCCATCTCGTGGAGAGGCTGCCGGTCGGTGGCCCCTCACCCATCACTTCATCTTCCCTTTGGGGGCCCATTATTTGTCGAGAGCAATATCCGGGGTACCTCAATTAAAATGTCCCCTCTTTAAAGATGGGATTTTTTAAACGTGGCATCCAGGGCACATGTTCTTAGGGATCCCCAAGCTCTGCTTTCCCAGGAGATGTTCTTCCCATGAGGACTCAGCTCACCATCGGCCCAGGACAAAAGTTACCCGACTGAAGCAGAGGGATAGACAGGTGTCTGGAAGCTCAACGGTCAGCGCTGCCCTTTTGAGGGAGAGGGGAGCTTGCAGGGGACTGGGGGGGTGAAATGAGGACAGAGGCTCAGGAGTCATCAAGGAATTAATCGAAGAACCATGTTTGTGATTCTGCAGTCCTGAGCTCACCCCCTCTCTGCCACCCCCCTCAGATCCATGGGTGTCATGGGGAGAGCCTCGAGCCCCGGCCCCCTGCCCCCGACCTTCTCCTGCTGTCTTGGCACCACGCACAGTGAGTCAGAGGAGAGGGGTCCCTGTGGACCCTCACCCTGGCCTCCGGCCCTGCTTGCCCTGGATCAGGGCCTGCCCCAGCAGGGCTGGTCATGTCCACTCGTCCCAGCAGCCCCCATGCCTCACCATCCCCAGCTGCCCCGACGGGCAAGGGGTGGAGTGTGTGTGCTGGAGCGGGGTGGTGGGGGAGAGCCACCCCTGCAGAACCAGAGGAGGACCAGCCTGCAGGGCTGGGTGAGAAAGTGGGCATGGGTGAGACCCCAAAATGCCAAGATTTCTGCCCATTCTGTGTGTTCCCAGTTCTTCCCCACTTCGGTGTCCCAGCGCAGTCGGTGTGTTTTAAAGCCAAGGGGTAGAGATAGAGGCTCACCCCGGTTGTGCTGCACACAGACCCCCGGAGAGGCCCTAGCTCTGCAGCTGGCCTCCCTCAGGCTGGGGTCTTGGCACCATGGCCACCACCAGCCCGTCTTGCTGGCCAGGTGCCTGCTGTCCTGGGACACAGGGCCCACCTCTGCCCGCCCTGGCCCGCGCTCTTTGTACAAATGACCTTCCCTGCTCCATCGCGAGGCCCGTCAAAGGAACCAGACGAGCCCATAAATTATTGCACAAACCATTCCAAACAATAAAGGCGGTTTTACTTACCGAACCATTAAATTTACATACTTAAATTACGTCGCAGGGGTGTCTGGGGGCCAGGCAAACAGTGAGGGGCGGGAAGCGCCATCTCTGTTTCCCCACCTCGCACATGAAGTTAACGAGGTGCTTCAGTGTCATCATCATTACAATCACATCTTTATTTAGTCACTTAGCGGGGTCTGACCGCTGCCTCGGCCTCCTGGGTGTCACGGGCCCTCGGTGGGCTCCAGAGCCTGGCCGGAGGTTGCTCTGGCCGGGGAGGCAGCTTTGGCGGGTCCTGTTCCTGCCTGCACGACCTCTGCGAGGTTCTCTGTTCTCTGGAGGTCAGCCCTGACGTGGGAGACACACTGCCCCCCAGGGGGTCACCCTCACCCCCACCTTGGCCCCGACGCCAGCTCTGGGGAATGACGCATGTGCCTCTTTTTCGTTCCAAGTACCAATGTCTGAGTCCAGGCCCCAAACTTTGTCCCGTTGGTGTCGACTCGACTTCCTGGCTCGGCTGCGGAGAAGCTTATGGGGATGCTGAGTGACCGCGCAGAGCCCCGGCCGCGAGCCCACCACCGGGGGAGAGAGCCGACACCATGGGCGCGGGATGCCCTTCCCTGGCCCGGCCCGTCACTCCATCCCCAGCAGGGGCCAGGTGTCCAGGGGTGCCCAGGAAGACCACCAGGCGAGAAAGGGAGAGCAGGGGCAGCCAGCGGGCTCTGCTCCTGGCCCGCCTGCCGCTGCCTGCTGCCCTGGGCCTGGTGCTGCCAGGCTCTGGCTTCAGAGAGAGATCCAGGATACCCCTGGCAGGGGGACACCCCCACAGTCCTGGGTGGGCACCACCGCTTCCGAGGGGCCGTTATGGACAGAGGTGGGAACTGGCCACGGTGACCTGGGGCTTGGGAAGCACCGGATGTGCCAGGAGCTTCTCGGAAGTGGCCCAGGACAGATCCTGCAGGGGGCGGAGATGGCAATGTCTCACACCTGCAGCCGACCTGTGGCGGCAGATGAGCCCGACCCGACCATCTCTGGAGTGGCGGTCACAGCGCAACGGGAGTACGATTGTTTTCATGTGAGCCTGCGCTACGAGCATCCCCTCCTCCCTTTACGTTTAGGCAATAAACACAAAACTCTGTACCTCAAGCCCCGATTTGTAGAGTTTGCCCTTTTCTTGGTCTGCGCCTTCTGATTACAGCCGATTTCAAACCAACAACCCGGCATCGTGGTCAGGGAGTTGGCAGCGCCCCGGTGCCGTCCCGTCCCGGGGGGCCAGGGGTGCAGCCTGGGGCACAGCAGGTACTGAGAGGAGGTGAGAGAGGCGAGATTTTAATCCGCGTTGGAAGGTCATAGAGTCGAACACCTAGGAAGGCTGCTCTTAACAACCAGATCTCAGACGCCCGGAAGACTCACTCGCCGACCCACAGGGCAGGGGAAGCTGCCGCCCCCAGACACACCCCTGTGGGCTGCAACTGCTGCTGGGCTGCTAAGGCCTCCCCCCTGGACCCAGCGGGTCTCCTGGAGCCATTCCTGCCCTCCCGGCCCCCCTGGCTCCCCCTGCCCCCCCCTCCTCTCCCCTCTCCTGTTCCTTCAACGGCGGTAGATTCCACCTGCAGCCTGGGGTTCACGTGACTCGCTAGCATCTTAGCTCGAGTGGCAGCAGAGCCCGTCACCGCCTGGTATCTGTAAGGGTGGCCGAGACTTGCCCTCCCGTCCTCCAGGATGCAGGCAGTGGAGACAGAACCCACAGGGATGGCCTCTGGGACAACCGCACCCTCCAGCTTGCTGACCTCGGCCTCGCCTCTGCCCGTCCGGCCTCTGTCTCTCCCAGCGCCCTCTTGCCTGAGCCCTGCTCCCGGCCCCATCCATGTCCCTCTCGGGGGGTCACAGCTGTGCCCGTGGCCCCTGCTGCCCGTGGCCTTTGTGGTTTGATCCAGCGGGGCCTGTGCAAGCTTCTTTCCTGGCCCGCCTGTATCTGAAGGGACACAGCGGAGGCGGGGTTGTCCCATCCTCTCTCTGCGCCCCGTCACTTAGCACAGAGGGGGGATGAGACGGGGGTGGGGGGCAGGGGCTGGCAGAAGTCCTGCTCCATGAGCCACTGATGTCCGCTGGGGGACGGCGGGCACCCGAGTGGGCGGGCCAGTCATGGGGGCAGCTGCCTGGGTGAGGGCCGTGGTGCAGGCTCATGTGTGGCTGCGTGGCCTCACCGTGGCCTTGCTCAGCCCTCTCTAAAGAGGCTCCCTGCGTGCTCAAGGGGGCCCAGAGGTGGAAATTGGGGGTGTGGCAGCCACCGTTCTTGATGAGAACCAGGATATGCCAAAAAAGAGGAGGCCCTTTCGTCCTCCTGGACTGGGCTGTCACGCTCTCTGCAGTCACGCCGCTCTCGTAGCCGTCTCCCCGTATACACCCTCCCATCTGGGTGACACCACCCTTCTAGCCCTGGCCTCGAGGCTCAGGTCTGCACACTTATGCACGCACACCTCACTGCAGGTGTCCCCCATCAGGTCTGCGTGCCCCGCGCCTGCACTCCCAAGCACCTCCCGCATCAGCACAGGCAAGGCCACAGGTGATGGCCACAGAGGCTAGTGGCGTGAAAAGCCCGACCAGTTCACTTACCCAGTGGGAAGCCACCTGTCTCTGGTGCCCCCCCTTCCCCTCCCAGGGCGCTGAGGTAGGGACAGGATCTCAGCACGGACTCGGCAGGTCCCTTTTTGTCACAGCTGCAGGCCTTTCCACAGCCACCTCGCGGCTCCTGTGGACCCATTGTCCCCCCAGTGATGGGCGTGAGGGTGGACACACATGTCTTAACGGGAGAGGGTGGTCTCGGCAGAGAGGAGGGTGCAGTGGGAAGGGAGTGGGGGGTGGGTGAGGCCTTGAGGGCGCCGAGGCCAGCTGGCCCTGCCCGCCCCGTGCGGGAGGCTCTAGAGGGTGGAGGTGGGTGCGAGGGCTGGAGTCAGGCTCTCGCCCACAGACGAGGCTTCTGAGACCAGGTCCCCACACGTGGCTCTCCCTTTCTGGCTGACCACCCCCAGGCGCCCCCGGGCCCCAGCCCTCTTCCCGCACCCAGCACATTCCGCCTAGCTTCCCTGTCAAAGCCCCGGCAGCAGCTCAGGGCTCCCCGAGTCGGCAAGCCTCGCAGACGCCCTGGATGTCAACTTCGCCTGATTTTCTAATTTCATCTCTCGCAGGCGTCCGGGACGCTAACATGATTAAGTTCTTCACACAATTTATTAGCATCATGTTGGAAACCCACTAGTATATTACACTGTCTGAGTAATCCAATTAGCAAAATGTATTTATTTAACAGGAATATTAGCCACGTGCGAGCCCACACCAAGCCCCCCAGCTTCCTCGCTCTGGGTGGGGGGGCCTGGCGGGCGGGCACGCGTGTTAACAGACGCGTGCAGGAGGCAGCCCACGTCCGGGAGGGCCGGGGTGCGGTGGCCCCCGCTCGGCAGTGCTGCTGCGAGTCTCAAAGGTCGCACACTTGGTTGGGGTGCCCCGGGGGCGGGGGGAGAGCAGACGCTGGATTCTGGCCCGGTTCTGCCTCCCCCTTCCAGCATCCGGGGATCTCAGGCATGTTCTCGACCTTCCTGCCTCTCGGTTTCCTCTCATCTGTGACATGGAGAGAGGGAACCCTCCTCAGAGTGTGGGTGACCGTGAGAATTCCGCTGGGCAGCAGGGGAACCGGCCGGGCTGGGCCCGTCTCGCCCGCTACCTTGGTGAGCGATGCTGGCCGTGGCCCTGAAACCGCCACAGAAGCACCTCCTGTTGTCATGGTTACCAGCATCCGTGGGGGCTTGAGGAGGGTGGTGGTGCTGGGGTGAGGAGGGAGGACCCGCTGGGTGTTTCCCTTGGGCTCACCACCTCACCCAGTCTCCCCCCGCTGGGTGCCGGGTGCTTCTCCTGATTTCACCCTCGTGGCAGCCGCCCTGCCGGGCAGGCACTCAGCCACCCCTCTGCGCTGTCCCGGCCAGGACTGGGAATCCAGGCTGGCCCTGGCTCTGGTGCCCCCCGCCCCCCGGCTCTTATCCCGGGGGCTTTCTGCTTCTTGCCCGTCCACCCTACCCCTCCCATCTAAATGCTCGGGCACGGGGGCAGAGCCTCTGCCTCTGCAGTGCCCCAGCGAGCCCTTGGGGAACCCACTCCCCTTCGGAGGGGCTGCCCAGGGCCGGGGCGGGGGACCCCCTCCCCTAGGGTCCTGTTCTTGGCTTCCTTCTCTTGAAACACTTGAAATGCTCGTAACGGCCACTGTCCTGGGCGCCCTCCACTGTGTCTGCTCTCGGCCTGGCGCACCCGCCTCTGCCATGCGCAGAGCAGATGGGAGCGCCCTCCTCGCCTGAGGGGGTGACCCCTGTTTCCCAGGAACTGGGAAGGGGCGGGTGTCAGCACCGTCAGCCCTTGTCTGGGGTCTGAGTTGAGAAGCGACCGGCGAAGCGAGAGGAGCTCGGCTACCGCTCTTGTGCTGTGACCCCCCAGCCCCCCGTCTGCCTTCCTCGCTTTTGAGGTGTCTGGGGGCTGCGGTTCAGGGTGGGGTGAGGGCCGGCTCCGGGAGGCGAGGTCTCCTAGCGCCGGCAGCAGCAGAGACAGGAGGACAACAAAGGGCCTGCCCAGCCCGGGCAGAGGCTGCCAGCTCCCCGCCCCCTGCCGGGATCAGTCCCCGGGGGTGGCCTGTAGCAGACAACTCTGGCGCCCCCAGATTCCCAGAGACACCCAGATGCCAACTTGGGGATTCCAGAATGGTGACAACTGTTGGGCCCTCTCTCTGGGGTGTGCCTATGAGCCCCGAGGAGCTCCCCCCACCGAGACAGACGTCTCCCTGTGCCCGTGCTGCGCCCCTGCCGTGGGGGGGCACGGGGGCCAGCCAGCAGCTCGCTGACATCACACAGCGCCTGAGCTGTGAGCCCGCAGGCGGCTGGAACCCTAGTGTTTCCTCTAACTGCCTCCCCCATCAGCCCTGACGCCGGGTCTTCCCTCCTCCCCAGCTCCAGCGTAACTGTCATCGTCGCTGGCTTTGACCACGAGGGAAAGAAAAAGCCACCTCGGCTATTGCCACCCTGAGTCACCAGGCAGGGTGCCCCGGGGAGAGCCTGGCAGGGCCTGGAGCCGGTGCTGGGGTGGGGGTTTCATGGGAGGTGCCCCTCCACCCTCTGAGGGGGCGAGGGGTGTTCTCCGAGTTGCTGTCCAGGGGCACACTCCCCTCCCACCGGACCCCCCACGACGGTCGGTTTCTCTAACTGAGGGGCGGGCAGGGAGGGGAGGGGAGATGAAGTTGGGGTGGGGGGTTCTCTCCCTCCCTCCTCCACTGGGTTTTCCCTGTCCCCCCTGCTACTAGGCTGCATCCCCTGCACATGCACCCCCATATCCAGGAGTGTGAATCCCCTTTCCAGGCCTCTGGGAACCCCTGGCCCTGGCTGAGTGGCCACAGGGGAGGGCCTGCCCCAGGGCCCCCAGAGAAGTCACGTCCACCAGGCCCCCTCAGGGCCGCCAGAGGGTGCCGCTGACCTGTGGGCGGCTTGGCCCTGCAGGCAGGAGCATGGAGCCTGGTCAAGAGCCTTTGTGCCCGGTGGCCTGGGTCGCCCTACACCCCATGCCCATGGGGGGCCCCTCTGTGGCACCCAGGGCCCCGAGAAGCAGGTGCCAGCACAGGCCATCATGCAGCCGGCCATTCCAGAAGCTTCCCTCCACTGCCAGGACGCTGCGTCTGCTGGGGCATCTGCTGCTCATCCTATTAGCCTTGGTGCCCCCCAATTTCTGGTTTGGAAAACATGTTGGGGTGCAGGCCCCTCCAGGTGCCATCAGCTGGAGACCCCATCCTGTGTTCTGGGGCGCCCAGCCCAGGAGTCCCCCAAACGTGTGTGGGCCTGGGAGAAAGGACTGACCGAGCTCATTTCTCAACCTGCTGCGGGAGCCTGAACACCCGCCCCCGGCTCAGTGACAGAATCGGGCTGGAAGGTAGAAATGTGAGGGTCTCCCCTCACCATGCCCAGAGCAGCCGCTGCGTCCAGCTGCACACTTCGGGGGTGAGTGGTCAGCCCCAGACTTTCCTGCCGTGGGGTGCTGGGCCCCTGCTCTGGCCCCTGCGTCTCTGTGGGTATTTTACAATAATTTAGGAGAAAACGTGGGGAGACGGGAGAGTTTATCTGTGTCCACAGGCCCTTCAGGGGAGGTGGCTTCCTTTGGGGGCTTGGCCTGGACAATAGGACTCCCGTCCTGGAGGGGGGCAGTCAGGGCAGCCCCTTGCTCAGGTGCCCAAGCCCATCACCCGCCCACAGAGGAGGGGGTCTCTTTCGGGAGGTCCCTCCTGGAGCTGGCTGTGCCGTGAGCAGAAACGGTGACCCCGCCCCCCTCTTAGGGTGCAAGGCAGCAGACTCATGGCATCCATAGGCCCTGGGCCCCAGGGCCACTCCCGCTCCCCACCTCCCCCTGTGGCACCGGCGAGGGGACCCCTCCCATCCCCCCAGTCTCTCACAGGAGCCACGCAGGGAGCAGCTCTTCCGCGGGGTCTGCAGCGCCCAGGCTGGCTATTTCCTGCCCTGGGAAGCTGGGGCCTCAGAGGATGCGGGAGGGGCCGCTCTGGAACCAGCATCTTGGCAGCAGTTGCCAGGCAGGAATCCTCCCCCACCTCTGCCATTGGTCCTTCCCGTCTTGGGCACAGTGGGCGGCTGCCGCGCCCCCGGCTGGCCATTCCATCACCCAGGTGCCCGGTGGAGGCCGGGCCGCAGGCTGAGATGGGCGGGCCCCTGGGCCCCGGCGCCCTCCTGGCCAACCCCCCACAGGCGGGACCAGGGCCGGGGCCACCCTGCATTGCCCGGCCAGGGGCTCTGCAGCAGCCGCTGCTCCGTTGTCCTGCCTGTTGCCTGCTCGGAGCATGCCCCTCTCTGGCCACCCCGTGTCCTGGGGGCAGTGGCCCAGGCTGTCTCAGGTCAGCTGCCCAAGGGCTCCGTCTGCTGCTCACGGCCGCACGCCAGCCCCTGGCGCGGAGCCGGCTCGGGAACGCTGGTGACGGAGCAGAGGGCCGAGGGGGGCGGTGGCCGGAGGGCAGGACCCGGAGCAGCACAGAACTCCTGGGGCCGCGGGACCCTCTGGGGAGGGCTCCCCTTTGTCTGGGCCGGGGCCAGCCCTTCAGAGCGTCACCGGGTGGAGGGCCGCAGCGTGGCATTCCAAGCGCAGACCTGGCTCCATGTGAGCTTGGGGGGCTCCAGCCTCTCCGTGCCTGTTTCGCCACCTGCTAAATAAGAACAGCAGCCGCCCTCTCAGGCATCATGAGGGTTCAAGGTGACGATGCAGGAAAAAGGCTGAAACTGTGGGGAATCTCAGTGGATTTTGGAGAAGGCACCAGGAATGACAGCCCAAGTGTGGAGCTGACACAAGAGCCTTTGCTCTTTGCTGGAGACAGAGCCTTTGCCCCCCTGGGAAGAGAGCGCAGGCGGAAGCTGCACAGCCCTGCAGGGGGCCTGGTCCATCACGCCCAGGGGATGCTGGGAAAATCCCTCTCGGTGCAAACACCCCTCCCCCTCCCGCAGTTCTAAACAGAGAGCCATCTACCCGGGGAACATTCCCCCGGAACAATTGCTAAAAGGCCTAATTTTGGAGATAACCACCAATATAAATGTCTCATTACTTTAATTAAAGTCTCATCCATCACCGATGCACCACCGCCTGGAGCGGAGGACTCGGATGGCAGCCGTGGCCCCGAGAGCAGGGCACCGCCGCCCAGGCTCAGGCCAGCGCCCACAAACCTCTCACTAACACCCCACTTCATCCATGTGCCCCCAATACCTCTCCCACCCCCGCCCAGGAGGGAGGCCAGCAGAGCCTCCTAGGCCCTGGGTGGGCGGCGCTGTGGGAAGGGAGCGTGGACAGAGCCGACTCTGGTCTGCCCAGGGCAGGGCATCCTGTTTCTTGAGCTCCCGCATGCAGAGCCCCTGTGCCAGCTGCCAGCCTCACCTGCCACACGCTTGGGGACAGAGCTCTGAGGGGCCACCCAGCTCGCAGGCAGCCTCTGGGGCTTGTGCATCTGACTCCAGCAAGCCCCAAAGCCAGAGAAGTCCTTGGTATCCCTACCAAGGTGAGGGATAGGGGCCGGGCCCTCTGACCCCAGGGGCGGGGAGGCGGGGGCTGAGGAAAGGCCAGGACACAGAAGGACGAACAGGGTGTGGGCCAGGCCGGGGCCGGCCATTCCCGTGAGGCAGGATCTCCAGCTTCCAGGCCTGCGGAAGCCGTACAGGGACGCCTCGCGGGAGGTGAGTGAGGTGAGGAGGGCGAGGGCTCTCGAGTCTCCACTAGAATCAGGCAGAGGCAGGTGGGGTCAGGGTGGCCCAGGTGTCAGGACTGAACTGAGGGCCCCCCCTCAAGGACCGGCGATACACCTCGCGGGCCTCAGCTCTAGGCAGGCACAGATATGGGGAGCAGCAACAGCCTCGGAGGCTGGGGCTCCCTGAGTCACGTGGACCCAGGTCTCGGGCCCTGTCCCCGCAAACGCACTAGGGGCCAGGCTGGCTACAGCAGGAGACCGGCCGGGGGCGGCCGTTCCTGGAGGAACTGGGGTTTAGTTGAAGGATGGGATGTGGGGGGTTGGGGAGCAAGAAAGCAAGCAGACGGGTGGGGGCAGGTAGGCTGATGGCTCCGGTCGGAAGGAAATCCCAGAGTGACCTGGTAGAAGGAGACCCACGGTCCCTGGGGCAGACCGGGAAGGTCTCAGGTGTCAGCCGGGGCCACTGTGGACCCCACATCCTTTCCTGTCCCACCCCCTGGCAACACGGATCCACTCACTCTCATTCTCTTGTTTTGCCTTTTCTAGAATTTCCCATAAAGGGACCCGCCCGGCACGCAGCCCTCCAGTCTGGCCAGCTCTCGGCACCGCAGCTTGGTCGCCTCCGCCGTGGGCTGTTGTTGCCAGCGGTCAGGCCGTGGGGGGCTGGCCGCGCTCCTCCAGCACAGAGACCCCGCTAGTTCCCCCTGCGCCCCAGGGAGAGCCGGCTTTGTTCCCATCCCAGGCAGGGAGGGTCATCATGGGTTCAGGCAGCTTGAAAGAGAACCTTGGGGCCCTTGGCATCACCCGCACAGGTTAGGGGAGATGAGACAGCGGGGAGACAGCAGCTCGGGCCCCCGCAAATCCCTAGACCCTCCTTGCTCTCTGAGCTGTTCCCCGGTGCTCCCTGCTGCACTCTGCTGCAGGGCCTCTGCCGCCGCCCTTACACGTTCCGTCTCCCGGCTCAGGTGCGCCCACTCGCGCCCACACCACGCTCCAGGTGCCGCCCCCAGGCCCGCGTTAAGCCCACAGGTGTCATTGACACTAATGGGGGGATTGGGGAAAAAACCCATGACCTCACCGGCCCCACACCATCCCAACGATGCACGAAGCCGTCACCAACACTTGTCCAGCCTTCCCTGAAGGCACGGAAGGGGCTGCACTTGACCTTGCTCCCGTGACCCCGCTCCCGTCCTGCCCGCCTGGGCTCTGCATTTACCATCCCAGCCTTTTCAGAGTTTATCCTCACATGTACCCCCATCAACATTTGGGGGTTCATTTTGTTTATTTTTCAGCTGTGTCATTCTGCCCAGGGCCTTGTGTTGGATTTTTGTTTGCACTCACTGTCCCCCTTCGAAGGTCACTCAGGCAGCGCCCAGCGTGGAGGGAGCCCCGTGTTCACTGGTTCGCTTATCGACGGAGCCTCCTCCCGGTCTCCTGTTACTACATGAAGGTCGTGCAGATATCCCGGCCTGTGTCCCCGCCGTCCCTGCTGGGAGGGTGGCCGGGTCGTGGGCAGCGAGAACCCCAGGAGGCGTCCACACCACCTTCTCCTTGGCTTCCTCCTGGTCCCCGGGCCCCGCCTCCGCCAGCTCCGTGCTAATGTGAACCGGGTCCTTGTTCAAGTCTCAAAACCCTCCTGCCAGGAAGGGGTAACTGTAGGGGAAACGGAGACACTCAGGCCTTTGCGCCACTGGCCTCCGTGGGCACCACCTGCGGCCTTGAATGCAGGAGGCGCTGGGCACGGACCTGATGGTGGACACCCGGAGCGTGGCGCAGGCCTGAGGCAGTGGGCACAGCTGAGCCGGGAGGCTGAGCATATAGGGGCAGCATCTCAGAGGATGGGGTGTGGCTGAGGCCTGTGCAGTGAAAGCAGCAGAAAAGACAGCGGAGCCACAGCTACAAGTGGCCCCCCCCCGCCCCGCCCTGTCGCCCCACTACAAATGGTGTAGAATGGTCATTAAAATCCTGACAAAGCCACCGAGGGCTCCAGGCCTCTCCTTTACCCGTCTGCCCGGATCCATCGAGAACCTGCTCTGCGCCTGATGGTGGAACTGTTATCATCCCCTTTAACAGCTCAGGGTCGCAAGGCTCCGAGGGATTAAGTCACTTGCCCAATGTCACGCAGCCGGATCAGAGTCAAATCCAGAGCCCATGGCTTTGGGGTGCGAGGCAGACAGGTCTGTGGGCCCAGACATGGAGTCAGCAGGGCCCCCCACTGTGCCCTGTGACCCGCACGCTGACGGGAGCAGCTCCCCAGCCCTCACCCCCTCACATTCACTTCCTCAGTGCCCACGCGAGACACCATTTCCCGCCACGGAGCCTGGCCCCACAACCGTCCCAGCAAATGGCCACAGGGCAAGAGATGAAGCAGGGTAAGGGGTGAGCAGGGGTGTTTTTTTCTCATTCTGGGGTTAAACACCCCAGTTCGCGGTAAAACAAATGCCTTGCTGGGACTCTTCTCCTGCAGCAGGGCCGAGGAAAGCCCATTTCCCCGGGCCACTTAGCACCGCTTCATGCCACGAGAGACTGGGCTGGGCTAATTCTACGCTTGCCCGGGACCAGCCTGGGGGCAGGCTCTGGGGGCTGCAGGGCTAGGGGTGCAGCCCCTAGCCGGTCCCTCCCGGGGCCGTCTCAAGTCAAGGGCTGGGGTGCTGTCCCCGGCCCTCGGTGGGCGCTGAGGGTGTAGGGTAAGTCCATTGGTTGGGCTCTCAAGCCGCTGGCCTCTGTGGCTATCGCCTGCGGCCTTGAATGCGGGAGTGTGGGTGCGGCGCCGGCCTGACGGTGGACACCCGGAGTGTGGCGCGCGCTGCGGAAGTGGGCGCACCTGAGCCTGGAGGCGGCGGCTACAAGGACGGCGTCACCCAGAGCCCCGAAGGCCGGGCTTTCGCTGACCACATGGTCCACCCTGCTCTAAGTTGTCTGGGTTGCTCGAGTCCCAGCCAACCAACTCCCAGAACTTGTTTGAAAAGTATTTGTAAATGAAACAAAACCAGGTCCCCAGGCACAGCTGTCGAGACCTGCGCGGGGCCGGGGAGGGCCTGGTCAGCAGAGCCGTGGCTTCCACCCACTCTTCCGGGCCCCTGAAGTTGGAGGTTCCAGGGGCTCCCGGGGTGGGGTCCCAGCGCACCCTTCAGAGCCCCCTGGGAGTGAGTTGCTGCTCCACAGCTGCAGGGCCCAGCCGCCAGCACTTCATGGACACACTTGCATTAAAGATTCAGGATCTAAATTTGAACAAGGATTAGCCGTGCCCAGAACAAACAGCCGCGCCCACTCTGCGCGTGAGCCCACTCCGGTCTCCGCAGCACACGGCCCACCCGCCTTCTTCTCCCCGCTCCATTGTCCTCTTCTCAGCAATCAGTCCACCTGCAGTGTCCAGAGCGGCTGGCCTGCAGGGAAGTAGCCCAAGTGCTGGGAAGCCACCAGGGACCTTGACCCCCCGCCAGACTGGGTGGTGGTAGGCGAGGCCGGGACAGGCCTCCCTGCTGCTGCTTCAGCTGGAGAGCGCTGACCCCCGTGGAAGCCCAGACTTGACACCAGCAGAGCTGGAAGCTGAGGACCAGCTGCCCCCTCACGCTTCCCCTCTTGAGATGGACAGGAGGCGACGGCGTCAGCCTCCCGGTCCTGGCCTGGGGTCTCCTGCCAAACCCAGAGGCCTGGGACAGGCAGAGGCCGAGGGCCGGTGCTGGCTGCCAGGGAAGTGCAGGGAGGGTCCTCCACGCTGCAGAGCTCCAGGCCTGGCGTGCAGGGGCCTGGTGTTGCCGGGATCCTGTCTTCTCTGGAGGCGTCGGGCGTGGGAATATGTATGTGGCAGCGTGTGAGCTGTAAGTGGTGGCACCCACATTTTAAAGTAAAAGAGGCTGGAAGGGGCGGACAAAGCCGCCTGGGGCTGTGCCGCCCTCCTCCTCCTCCAGGCGCGTCCCTGCTCGGAAACCTGCGACCCGGGGCAGGGCGGGGGTGCGAGGCAGGCCCTGTCTTTCTGCTTCTCCAGATCATGCTTCTTCCAGGGGCTGCTGCCTTCCAGCGTAATTTGATTTTGCTTTTCTCTGCTCCCTTTGATCCTCTGAGGTTGCCAGGCAGAGCTACGATTTTATTTGCAGCTTCTGATGACGGGAGAAGGATTTTGAAAACTGCAGCCTGAAGAGACAAGCTCCCCTGCAGCTGTTGTCAAGTCGGTTTCCATGGTCTCCCAGGACGGGGAGCGCGCACAGGGTGCAGGCGGGGGAGAGGCCCCAAGCGTCCTCCCGGCCTCCTGTGGGGAGCACTGCATTTGCTGACACTGACTGCTGAAGCTAGTGGGTGCTGTCACCCACCCACCATCTACCTGCTACCCACCCAGCCACCCTTCCACCCATCTGCGCACCCCCCGACTTCTCCATCCACCCCCTCTCCTCACCACCCTTCCATCCACGCCACAAATATTTGCCAGGTGTCGGCCACGTGTCAGGGCTGTGCTGGCCGACAGTGGAGGCTGGACAGCGTCCTGTCCTCGCAGGGACTGTGCCTTGTGTCCACCATCACCGCGGACCCGGCTGGCACGCAGCGAAGGGCGGGCGTGGGGCTGAGGACCTCTGCTCCCTCCCCAGATGGCGGGTGGTGAAGACGGATCCCCAGCACAGATGATATACATGCTGGGAGGTTTGTGCGGTTTGGGGCCAGAAAGTGGAGGGGGAGATGTTTCTGGAGGAGGGTCTAGCACGAGGGAGGGGCAGCCCTGGGCAGTGCCAGTGCAGAGGGGTGTCTTGTCTGCCCCTCTGGGCACAGCACAAGGGTGAGGGGCGCCCGGGGCCAATGTGTCCAGGCAGGGCAGGCGGAGCTGGCCTCAGGGGCGGTGCCAGCACGGAGGACCGGGAGATGATCTCCCGCCGATGGGGCTGCAAGGCCCTTCTGCCCTGGTTATCGCTGGCGCGGGTCCGTCCCCCTTGAACTGGAGCGGAAGTTTCCAGTCCCTGTTCCTTCCAGCCAAACGCCCCAGGAAGCGTCTAGTCCAGGTACTTCTGCAGCGCACGGCCTGAAGCCAGCTCAGCCCCAGCGGCCGGCCGGGCCACGCAGGCCTCTCTGCTGCCCTGTCTGTTCCCAAAGGGATGCCACGTGCTCACCCACTGGGAGGAGTGGAGCACACCCTCCCCTCGGCCCACCCAGACGCGGGCCTGGCCCCAGGGGAAATCCGGGGATGCTCATGATGCCTGCTGGTTCCCCAAGGAGCCCCCTGTGCAGCGACCCCACCCAGCTGGGGCCAGGGATGCCCTCAGTCCTCTGGGGTCACCTGCATCTGGGCAAATGCGGGCTCCTCCTGTTCAGTTTCTCTGAAGGTCTCTCCCCCGCCAGCAAATCCTTGCTCTGCTCATGATGTCTGGGGCTCACCTGGCTCACCTGTGCTCACCTGGCTCACCTGTGCTCACCTGTGCTCACCTGGCTCACCTGTGCTCACCTTGGGCCGAGACCCAGTTCCCAAGCCCAAGAGGCTGCTGCCCTTTCCTTGTGAAGTGGAGGGAGGAGGAGAGGGAGGGCGAGGAGGCGGGAGGGAGAGGGCAGGGGAGGGGCGCGGTGGGGAGAGGAAGGAGGGAGGGAGAGGGCAGGGGACACATGTACATCTCAGCCTCCCTCCTGCACCTTCCTCTCTGGCCCAGCTGCACAGAGGGGGGCCAGGAGTGGCCCCGGCCGGCCGCAGGCTTTGGGCAGCGGAGGGAACCGGCCCCTGCTGGAGTGAGCGGGGCGGGGCGGGCGGGGACCCTGGAGCTCCGTGCCCAGAGCCTCACTGTGCCCCTCTGTCCGCGGAGGCGTGGCTGGAGCAGGCCTGGCCCGCAGACTCGCTGTGCAGAGCTGGTGACCCCGACAGCAGACTGCGCTGGCCAAGAGACTGTGGCGCCCCCGCCCTCCCCTGCCCACAGAGAAGGCAGCCGGGGCAGCCCAGGGTGAGGGCCCGCCAGTAACACTCTGTTTCCAGAGGGGACACCCCCCCCACATGGGCCCCTCCCTCACCATGACCCGCCACCGCGCCCAGCTGCCCCCGACACTCTCCTAGAACAGAGGAGGGAGCAGGCCCCACCCACAGCTCCCCGAGCTCCAGCTCCGTCTGGCCTGGTGTCTGGCCTCCTCTGCTGGGCTCCAGCTTGGGGTGCGCAAGCCCAGACTGGAACTGAAGTCCCTTCTCTCCCCGGCCCCAGGCAGGACCTCCAGCGGCTGGCACAGGGGCCCACCTCATCCTTCACCTCGGTGCTCCAGAACCCTGGCCCGAGATGCCGCGGCCCTGGGAGGGAAGGCTGGACCGAGGCCTGCATCGCGGGAGGAGCTGGTGGTGGCGCCCTGTCCTGCGACACCCCACGGAGCCTCTGCGGAGACTGAGGGTCTAACTAACGCGTCTTTACTCGGGAGCCCCCATTCACCCACTCTGGGCACCTTGGGCGCCACCTGGAAGCAGCGCCCCCAAGAGAATCCTGCTTTGGCTCCTCCCATCATTCTCATGGCTGCTCCCAGGCGGGGGCCAGGGCGTGGGGGGAGGGGGCGTGCGCAGTGGGTGCAGACCCCACTCTTTGGAACGAGGAGCCCCACCGTGGCGCAGGCCGATTCCTGCAGTGTTAAGGCTCCTGCCACTTTCAAGCTGCCCTGAACTCGGAGCAGGAGGGGTTGGGCCGGGCTGGCTGGTGCAAGTCCACCATGCGGCCCCCACGCTGGGGCAGAGGCGGGGCGGCAGCCCCCAGCCCTGCTCAGAAACCAGAAGACCCCTGCCTTTCTCCCGCCCCTGCCTGAGCACAAAGGGCCTCTGTTCCCTCACCCCACCGTCAGGCAAGGCAGGGATGGGCCTGTCAGTCAGGAGGCCTGAGCGGGGCCTGAGGACAGAGGTGAGGCTGCCATGGGAACAGAGCCAGCCTGGCCAGGGCCTAAGG